CACCACCCTTATCGTCATGGCTGTTTCCATAGCATTCGATTCTAAGACAAGTCGACACAGCTTAAACTCCGTCCACTTTTTCTAGAACGGTCAGGGCGGTAGGGGGGGGGAGAAGAGGGGTAACTATATTAAACAAGATTGACCCAACGACAACAATCTGTATTATTGACTTCGATTTGATAGGGGCGGAAGTGGTGTAGTGACAAGTGGCGCGCTCACCACGCGAGCGGTCCGGGGATCAAATCCTGGGTCGTGAGTCGCCCGGGCCAACCAAGCCTTCCATCCCTCCGGGGTCGGTTAATTGGTACCAGACTTGTCTGGGAGGATAAAAACACTGACTTGAACATCGGCTGGCAAGTCATTGTATAGGCCACATCGCATTCAAACGCCACTGCGAATGTACAAATGGAAGTAGAATGCGTGCCGCATCCCAAAAAGGGATTGATCAACGGCAAATGCTTTATCCTTTATCCTTTTTTTTATATATAAGTCGCTCAAAATTCATGATTGTTAAGATTATACTACCAAATTTAGAAGAGCAACACATATAGTTCGGACTTATTTGTGCTTCTAAGTTGAGCTTGGCTCGCTCCTAAAGGCACAGCTCACGATTCTTTCGTTGGGAAAACTCTTTTCTGCTTTCGAAGCAGATGAGCGCCGGGCCACTGTAGAGATGGTACCACTTTGGTCACTAAAAAACTGGTGCCAAAAGCGCGCTCGCGACTTCATGCCTCAATGCACGCCTACCGTTTCAAGTCCGTTGGTGTCTGTGTCTCGCTCGTCCCTATGCTCTGTCGTCTCAGCGTTCTGGATTCTTTGGGTGTGACCTCGCCACCGAGCAACAAAAGGGCGTAGCTTATTACATGCTTCTGTGGCTTCTGACTCCAAATTTGCCCCAGTCAGAGACTTACCTTTCAAGCCCATTACAACTATAGGCCGATGTCAGACTTTGCGAATCGCGCGATTCGCTAGCGTCCGCGGTCGCGTTGCGGTACCAGCCAATTGAGTGATTCACTGGCCGCGACGCGACCGCAGACGCTAGCGAATCGCGCGATTCGCAAAGTCTGACATCGGCCTATAGAGCGATGGTTCGTTCTATAGGCCAGTGCCCCATTCAGCTCTTTCTTCCGAAGACTGAACGTCACATGGTACATTTGGAATTAATTCCACAAAAGTGCTTTTTCGTCAAGAAAATCGTTTTTGCTCTCTGACACTGAAGTACCAATTGTGGAATAGAATCAGTCAGGGATCTGAATGGAAATGGTCTATATGGCGTATCCCAGGTTCAAAACCAACGTCAGCAGTAATTTTACCAAGTTTAGGTAATGTTGCGAACTGTGTTGTCACGTGTGTCTACACAACTTCGAACGGCCAGCTCAATGCCGGCACCCATAAGGGATGTTCAGCCAAAGCACACGAAAGTAAGCCTTTCGGAGAGTCAGATCTGATTACTGCCCTCAACAAAGCTCCTGCCGCGTCTTGAATAAATCCTTTTTCAGCTCTTCATAAATAACGAATGGGTTGATGCGGTGAGCAAAAAGACGTTCGAAACGATCAACCCAGCCACTGGCAAGGTGATAACGACTGTTGCGAAGCTGATAAAGCAGATGTCGACAAAGCAGTAAAGGTAAGGCGATCTTTAGTCAAGCAAACGAATCTCAAGGGAGTGCAGCAAAGGTGGAGGTCTGAGGTCCACTTAAGTTCGGGAGTTGAATTCTTGAGAAACAATGTGAGATACTCGAAGCGTAAATACTACTTGAAACTGTAAACAACAACAAATGGACTAAAAATCAAAACAAATACGATGGACAAACATATAATACGCGACAAATACAAACAAAAATAAAAGTAGTTGAAATTAAAAAAAGCAAAAGAGGTTGAAATGAAAACGAGGATACAAATGAGGAAATACTTGACAGCTCAAAGGAACAGGCAAAATTTGTTTGAAATTGAAGGACTGCGAGTAGTACTTCGATGTACCGCCACAATATAGCATAGGCACACCAGGAGGGGTCAAAGGGTAATGTGCTGTTCGGAAATTTCTCGGCTGAACATTCCTGCATCGATCGGGCGAACAGATGATCACACCGAGAGAACCTATTTCATGACCAATTCTGATTGATGAGGCTTTCGGGCATATTTAAGAGCGTCTCAGAGTTTATCGAGATGAAGCAAAGTCAAGGATTTCTTGATGGTAAATATAGGGGGAGGGGTCGTATTAGTATAAAGCGGGGAGAGGGAATATTATGAACCTCCACTGAGAAGCTCGCTGTATAATCCAAAGTGGTGGAATGAGGCCTCACTTACCAGGAAGGTCATCAGGCCGGTCCGGCCATTTGTAATGAGTTCTATACCCTTGCACTCGCCTCGAGACGCTGAGCTCAAAACTGTCTTCCCTATCTGCTAAACGATTTTTTGAACGGAGTTATAAAGCAAGGAAGCGCAGCGGTAGTGCCCTGTCTCGCAGGCAAGAGGTTGTGGGAACTGCTCGCAAACTCTTCGTACAGGCAACTAATGGCAAGTGTTGATAAATTAACGAATTTAGAAGCTTTTCTACCTCACTGACATTGAAAAACAAAAAAGCAGGCTCCTCAAAAACCGTTCCCACCACCTCTTGCCTGCGAGACCAGGCACTACCGCTGCGCTTTCTTGCTTTATAACTCCGTTCAAAGAACCGTTTAGCAGATAGTGAAGGCAGTTTTGAGCTCAGCGTCTCGAGGCGAGTGCAATGGTATACAGCTCATTGCTAATGGCCGGACCGACCTGATGACCTTCCTGGTTAGCCATATAAAGGAAATTTCTCAAATTTTGTGACTCACAAAATTCAAGTTTTGTCTTGTCTACAGTAGTGTAGTAGATACCGTAGTAATGAACTCCTTTTCCATTTTGGCTTTACAGAGTTTTACATTGAAAGAGCTGGACCGTAGCGTCCACTGGTTGAAAGAAGGGTCATATTGGTGTCCAATTTCCCATCGTGGCAATCACCTTCCCATGGGTGCGCCAGTTTGCTGGGCGAGCATTATGCTCGGTTTTTTGAATTTTTCCAATGCTTCCACGATTTGGATAACCCTCCCCTCATCATGAAAAAATTGGTGGTCAAACCAGGTGTCGTCGCAGAGTCAAGTGCACATTTCACAGGAAGAGGGGAGGCAACTTTGGCTTGCGGCTTAAAATGAAAGCTGGCGGTTCTTAAAAAAATTCGAGTTATAGTAGGCCAAAAGAGACGACTTGGAACTCAGCAGGAATGACCTCGTCCATAATCTCAACGCGCGGGCGAGTTTTCTACGAGAAGCCTCGTGAACAGTGTAGCTTTGTCTGCCTTTCACGTAGGGTCATCTTGATGTATGACAGAACTTGGATAAACATTAAGCATGGTAAATGGACAGAATTGCGAACATTCGCTGAGCCCCTCCCAGGGTCAACCGTCCGTTGGACAAAGTCCAACGCGACGACGAGAGTAATGCCGAGAGTGAACGTACGCACGGAGACACAGACGGCTCGCGGGTGGCGAGAGTGAATGCCGGCGCGGAGAGCGGTGAACATCGGTCCAACGTCGCTCCAATATCGGTCCAACGTAACGGTTGACCCTGTTCCCTCCCCATTGCCTCTGCTCGACCGCTGTTTTGAAGCGGAGCTGGAGTGTGTTGACTAGAATGGAGTACTATAAAAAGCAGCCAGAGTACGTGGTGGTGAGGAGATAGTCGTGGAATTTTCTCTGAAATTTGTCGAACCCCAGCGGTGACCCTGCTCTCTACAGCAATGCCAGAACCCATACCACAGAGTACAGGGACTGAGGACGCTACCAGAGGCGGAGGGGATCTTGAAGGTGGGGAAGGAACACGTAAAGCTTCATCTAGTTATTTCGAGCGGGTATTTTGCGGTTAAACGCGCAACATACGGGACCAAGCATGCGTCCAAAACAACAGCGTAGAGAGGTCTTATTTGGCGAAGCGGCACGGTACTCTAGGTCAGGTGAATCGTCGATTTCTGAATTTTGAGCTTGAAAGCTGAAGGTGAAAGCTGAAAAGCTTTAAATGGAACCTAAAGCTGATCCAAAGGTTAAGCTTTACTTACCTCTTACTGTTTAAGGCGGCTTCCGATGCTTTCCGTCTTGGTTCACCCTGGCGCCGGATGGATGCAGCACAACGCGGTGTTCTGATGCACAAGTTGGCCGACTTGATGGAACGGGACAGAGCTTACCTTGCTGTGAGCCTTTTTTCTAGCCGTACTTATCATTAATCCCTTGTCTGAAACCTTTCTTCTCAACCTTTCTTTTACAGTCGCTGGAAACGCTCGATAACGGAAAGCCGTACGCGGTTGCATACAATGCTGATCTACCGTTGTCAATTAACTGTATTAGGTGAGTTATACGGTTTTACTGATCGCATTAGGTCTGAGCTTGAAAGGGGAAGGGCAGACGAGACAGTAAAATGTTGCGCCGCACACTCCATGAGAGGCAGAAGTTATGAGATCTAAGGATTGGGGGGAAGCGAGTCCTCCTGGATGCTGGTCTCACATGGAAGGAAAAATTAGCTCACCCAAGCGGAATAGGAGTTTCGAAGCTTGTTATACTTAAAGGCAGTGGTTGCGATAACTGAAAGGATGACGTCATTAATTTGACGTCATTGATGGACCAGACCTCTCGCGCAGCGCACGTGGGTGGGGGTAGGTGAGGTAGGTAGGGGGAGGGTAGGTGTGGCTGTAAGCGCGTCTTCCTAACGCCTATCCACTGATGACGTCATCGAAACGCTCGTCTCCTGGACATCGCACCTCTCAACCTT